ATATTACACAAAAACAGACATTATAACTTCCTTTTTGAGTCATTGTCCCTATATAGTACCAATGAGCATTTTTAACATACATGTAAGAAAAAAAACTGCAGATATTCACCCAAAATAAAAGTTTTTGATGTACTTTTGGTGTATTTGTACAAGTTGACATTTGTTTTCTGTTCTATATGTTGGTTAACAGTTGTGCAACCAAGGAACTCTAAAGACAATTAGTTACAGCAGAATCTTTAGAAGTACAGTGGAGGATGTTTTTCCGGGTGATTCATCAAAATAAGTGGTCCTCCTAATTGTCAATCATTCTGGTGATACGTTTACATAAGAACGTCCTATTGCTTGTCCCCATTTTCACTAACTAGTGGTGAGTCTGACAGTGGAAAAATTGCAAATCTTTTGGAAAGTAAGCTTGTGGGAACAATGCAAACAGCAACTTTTAAACAGAGCGTGCACAAGGAGAAATGCGCTTGTGCCCGCCCTTGCACGCATTAAATAAGCCCTCCCTCTCTGGAGCGGGTACAGGGTTGTGCATGTGCATTATCTTTTTTTTGTGGAGAGGGCGGGTCTTTTCAAAAATTCGCAAAAATCCTCCAGTATACCTTTAAGGGTTCCAGAACAAATCAAGTAAAATACAAATGCAAGCCGCACTTTTCAGATTCTTAGAAATTGAAACCATGCCAAAAATGTTTTCTTATACTTAATTATGAAGCTTATGTTGGTTTAGCAGACAAAACAAATCAAATAAAATAGACTGAGGTGAGTGTTTAGGAGGTTTAAATATTGAAAAAGTTGTAGGAAATGGTAAAAAAAATATCTAACCAAAATGTAATGCAGAGTTTACAGGACAACGGCCAGGGCGGAGCTAGATGGGGGGCCAGGGGTGGCCTTGGCCACCCTTAGCCAATCATTGGCCACCCCTGTGGCCACCCCTACCATTTCTTCCCTCTAATACAGACAGTGGCAGTGGAATGTTCTAACTTAACATTTTAATTCTTCATATATTAACAATTATTTAAAAAAACAAAACCCTTTGGTTAATTATGCTCATGAACATACTAACATTAAAGATGATAAATACAGAATTCATGCTCTTTTCACAACTACATTTTGTCTTAAGGGGTGAAGAGAAAACTGTCTATTCAAGTCACCTGAGTCTTCAGTGAAATTAGAGATATAACTACCTTAATAATAATCCATTTCATTTAGACATAAGTACATGTAATTACTAATTTTATGCAGAACAATTACTGATAAAAAGCATTGTTAGTAATAACAATGAATAAGATGTTAACACCAGAACTCAAAGATGAAATAATTTTGTCCCCTACACCTTTAATTTACACAACATGGATGTTTAAATATATGTGTCTATTTGTTAGGAAAGTATAGTCAGTCTTTATTTAGAAAATATAGTTTTGCTTGTTCATTTTGCTGTTGGAACAGAGTAAATTGACCCTGAAGTTCTGGCACCTATCCACTTTCGGCCCCCCCTCAGTGTACATTGGTTATTGCCTGGCCACCCTTATTAAAATGTTCTGGCTACGCCTCTGGACAAGGGGCCCAGAAAGCTTTGCATCCTGCAAGTTTGAATGCAGAGAAGTGAGGCAGTGCTGGTGCAAAATCACAGAATCGACTTCTGCACACACCTGCTAAGAAAATTGGGCACAACTGTCCACGAAAAAAGAAGAAGAAGAAGAAAAGAAAACGTTCTTTAGCCAGAAATTTACTCACATTGGGTTGAATTTAAAATTGCATCTGTAACATCCACTGCCATTCAGGGTCTCAGTTACAGCGGTAACCTGAACAGCTGAGCTCAAAGCAGGCGGTAAAACAAAAGAGGGAGGACGTTTAAAACGCCGCATAGTCTACAAAAAAAAAGAAAAGAAAATGACGTCGGGTATTTTCTTAATTTGAAAGCAGCGGTCCGCATTGAAGCCATGTCTAACCTGCCCGTTCAATTTCTACCAGTCATCCTCTGGACGGCAGGAGAAAACCAGGCCTGTAGCTATATTGAGCACCACCCTGCAGCCCAATTTCAGACCCCATTTAAATGCGACATGTGCAGCTATGGTGCGGAGGGAACACCACACAAGAGCGAGGCAAACAAAAAAACAAAAACAAAGGAGCGCTAATTAACTGGAGGGTTTATTTTTTTCCTCACTGGATGCTTACCTGGAGGTGCTCCTGGAATCGTATCGGTAATATCTGAGCCATTTCTGGGTGATTTTATGGGCCCGGAGAGTCCGTGAAGAAGGAGAGGGGACGGGGGGGAATAATCAAAGGAAAAGAGCTAACCGGCTTCTGTTTTTGTGCCCCCAGAAAAACCAAAACGATGGGCGGTAGAGTGGATCCTGGGTGGTATCAAGTGAATCCAGTAACTGCTCCCATTCAGGAGTCCCCCCTCCTCCTCAACACCAGCGCTGAATCAAAATACCCGCTCCTCCGCTTTGAAAAATAGTCCACACTACCTAGTAACTGAACCAAACCAGCTCATTTTGGACCCATTTAAGTTTACAGACTTGACCCAAAAATCATTACCGACTCATTATAAGTCATGACTTAGCATCTTTTTGCGTATTTCTCTTCCATATAACTGGATTCATCCCGTTTAATGTGTAGCTCGTATCCTTCCGCCAAGACCCCTTCCCCCCTTCCCATTTCACCAACTTTAAATTTAACAATTCTGTTTTAGTGGCAGTTGTAAAGTTATAATTGAATATCTTTCTGTGTTTTGAAAGAGATTGCTAAACCTTTTCATGATTTCATATTTTGTGAGTTTACAAAAATTAACTAAAATATATTTATGTTATACACCAACACAAAATGGTCCATTATGAAGGAATAGTTTATTTATTTAAACAATATATTAAATAAGTGGTATGTCTGTCTAATTTTTTATTCTCCTAAATGACATCCCGTGCAAACTATAGTCTTAAAAAGTTACCTAATTGATATAGAAATCAAATTGCTTTTAGTTTGTGAACATCAGTAAACAAGCAGCATCATGGAGACCAGCAAAGTTCACAGGGGTCTTTGGAAGAATCAGAATGTACACTATGTTTATTGATAGGTACGTTTAACACACTGGGAAATTTGACTTGGTGTGGCTTGCATTTTAATTAAAAAAGACAAGAAAAAATGTAAATAAGTGATTTTTTTAGGGTTAATGGTCTCCAAGGCAGAGTTTACACACTGTTCATGAGAGAAACATCAGAGGGAAATAACTGTTTTAATAGGATGAGGTTTTAGTCAGGAACCTCTTTTCAGAAAGAAGAAGAAGATGGTTTTATTTACACGCCTTAAGATCTTGGAGGCATACAGTTCCTGCAGTCTTGAAAGCTTGCAGCCAATCACCCTCTCAGCAGGATGGATGATGCGCTGCAGCCTGGTCTTATCCTTCAGTGCCTGCAGCATGATGGAGGTGGGGAGGATGGATTCCATGGTCCTGAAGTCTGCATCGATGGTTCGCCCGCCAACTTTGGATAGACTCATCACCATTCAGGATTTGTCAAATTATGTAATTTAAAAAGAAACCCCAGTCATGGCAGCAAGCTAGTTAGAGATGCCCTCATACAGGGACACCTCACTCCCACAAGCTGCTATGGGTCCAGCAAAGCATATGCCTTGAAAATCAAATCCACAACCAAATCTCAAAGGCACATTGGCAAGCCGGAGCAAAGCCTATGCAGCAGAGGAAACCAGGTCTTTGCCGGCTAGAGGCAAGAGGCACCAAAGGAGGGCGCCGTTTGTATGTGTTAAGATTTTAAAGCTTCTACCTTTTCTATGTTTGATCATGACTCAGTTATTTTTAGTATACATTGTTTTTTCAAACCATCCTACAGTTGTTCCTCGTAGATTGAATGTTTTATGCATTTTCTGTCCAGCCCTTATATCTGACCATTGTTTAGAGAAATGGTTGTGTTCATCAAATCCATTTTAAATGGCAGATTTTACTCTGAAGGATAAAAATTAAATTGTTCGTGACAGAATCTTTTCATTTTATGTGCACAAAACTGGCAAAATATTTTTTTTTACCAACTCTTCTAGAAAAACATATATCTTGTTTCATTTTAATCTTTGATATAAAAAGAAAGTAGGCTGCAGTGGGTAGCACTGCTGCCTTGCAGCAAGAAGGTCCGGGGACTTTCTGCATGGAGTTTGCATGTTCTCCCTGAACATGCGTGGGTTCTTTCCGGGTACTCTGGTCTCTTCACACAGTCCAAAATCCAGAGCTGTTAGGTTAATTGGCCTCTCTAAATTCTCCTTAGGTGTGAGTGTGTGAATGGTTGTTTGTCTCTGTGTTGCCCTGTGATGGACTGGCGATCTGTCCAGGCTGTATCCTGCCTCTCGCCCCTAGACAGCTGCAGATAGGCACCCCTCGTGACCCCACTTTGGATAGTGTGTCAGAAAATGGATGGATGGATAAAAAGAAAGTAAGAAACTGAAATTGTTTTAAGCAAAGAACAAACCTATGGCAAAAAAAAAGGAAATAAAATTGTGTAAACATAACATAGCTGTAACAAGATTAAGCCTGGCCCACGATCCAATAGAGTATAGTTAACTTTGAATAGTTAACATTTTTAAATGATAATCTTTCCAAAAGTTCTTCAGTTACAATACAGCTTATAAATAAAGAAAAAATGTGAAAATATCTTTATTTTTTGGCCTCTACAGACCTAAAAGTCAACTTTACTGGGGTTGAGTTAAATTATCTGTAACTTAATAAAACTCTGCTGCAGTTTACTGAATTGTGGTTTAGGTTCATATTATTATTAGATCTCTGTGAAGCTCTTGTACAAGACACCACACACCCGCATGCCAATGCATAAATGACTCCAGGAAGTAATTCTGTTCTCTTTTGCACATCTTATTCATGCAAATTTCACTGCTAAATCAGCACAGGTTTTTGCATGTTATACAGCACGCTCTGCACAAACAAAGCAATATGTAAAAGAAAAATGGATTAAAAGCTTGCAAAGTCTGATTTTCATCTAAAGATACAATTAATTCAATCTTAGCACGTTTGTAGATGACAGAAGAGGTGTGAGACTGAAAATATTTTTGTTTAAGCACAAAAAAGTAAATACCACACATTTGTTGTTCTACCGTCTGATACTCCAGGTTACAGATTCATGGTTTGAACCCAAAGGAGATTTTTTTTCACCATGAGAGGAAGCAGGTTGAGCCACCAGCTTCTACAGTTCCATCCAGGAGACCAGCTACACTCACTAGGATACATCAGTAGCAAAGCTTGGAAAACGGAGAAAAAAAACACAAAAATATCTTATCATAGTGTTTGTAGTGTTTACACCCATCAACAGTAGTAAAATATGAACAAACTTGAACAAAATAGAAAGAAATGGAAAGAACACAAGTTAAATTTCATTGTTTTCATAAAAAAAAGTCCCAGTTTTTGCCTTATTTCAGATTCCAACAAAGCATGTCATTAGTGTAGGTTCAAAGTCGCACAGGCTGTGTTAGGTTTGCAGTGTGCTTGGCCTGGCTCTTGCTGTCAATCAGAAGTATTTGGTTATTCTTATGATAAGATATCATCTCATCCAGACTGCTAAACATCTACGAGAAAGGGGAAGAAAAGGACAAGCAATGAATTCAAAATGCTGGGGTACAATTACAACAGCTTAGCTTTTTATATTTAACTTAAAATATTGTCATATTGTCAAAAACCTCAACGTGTTTTAGTGGGATTTTACATGAGGAAAACACATTTAAAGGGGAGAGGAATGAGCTGTGGTCTTCAAATACTTTTTCAAATAAAAATGTAAGCGATATGCCATGCACTGGCATTCATCCCCCTTTAGTCAGTAAGTTGTAGAATCAGATTGTGCATCCAGAGGATTCTTCTCTCTCGGACACCAACATCTCATCTTTTTCTGTATTCATCAAACATCTCACTTTTTCTTCAGCCTCACCTCTTCATTCTTCTTGCCCTCCTTTCCAAGTGCGTATCCCTGTGATTCTTCGATAAAACGGATGGGAATGTTGTAGACCTTCTGCTGGTAGAGAACAGCGAGGGTGTACGGCTGTTGAGGGCGTTTGTCAGAGCTGTAGCGAATCAGGAAGGCACCATCCTAAAAAAGATTAAAAATGCTTTCAAGAAAGAAAATAGAGTCGTGTAAAAAACGTTCTTAAAGTAATTTCTGGAATTGGAAAACAAACTCAAAACCCCTGAGTTCATCATAAGAGAATTAGGGCTGGCTGTAATATATCACCATTTTTATAACTGTTCCAGTTTTACTTGTTTTCAGGCTTGAAGTTCACCACAGGTAAAATCATTTCATACTTTAAAGTCAAGAAATATGATAAGAAAAAGTTTAAGTTCAGTACTTATATTCATTCTTTCAAGCCGAATGCTGTTTCTTTTCATCACATACGGGCAAAAAATAGGCTTATAGTCACTTCCACAAATCTCCCATTTTCTACATAGATGGATGCTTTGGGAAACCAGAAACGCTCACTACATCTTTGTTTTTTGTGCCACCATCAAATGGCCACAGCCAAGTCATTCAACACATCCGTACCTCCTAATAAGGCCTTTTTTTGCTGAGGAAAACTACTGAACTGTTACTCTTGCTACTTTATCATTCAGATGTTATATATTTCCATTTCAAAGAGTTTTGGCTTCAAATGATCTGCTGTGTCTAAAATGCATTTTTAAATGGTGTAATGCATTTATAGCAGACCTAAACTGTAAGTGAAACTATGCAGCTCTTTTGTTTTTCAACAGAGGAAGTGATCACTTTGGGCTTACCTTCCTGACTCTGTTTAAGAGGCTCTCAGCTGTCTGTCTGTTGCAGTCTCCAGCAAACCATTCCTTATCCTGGGGTGTATGGAATGCACAAAGCAAGTCAAAAGCTGTACACTTAATATTCATTTAAGACCAAGTCTCATATACCTTTCCCCACTTCACAGCTTTATTTCTTTGAACCAGATAGATGTCCACATTCTGGGCCGTTCTACTATGGTTCACATCAAAAGCACAGAATGACTCTTTATAATAGGACATATTAAAGGACTGGATGTTCAATACTTATGCAGGTGGTGGGTAAATATTTTAACCTCCTCCTTTGTTCTCCATAAGTAGCGTTTATTTATAGTTCTTTCAGGCTTCAATTTGTTTTTTAATTTTTTCTGTTATAAAAAAGTCTTAATGTTTTTGTTTACAAAAAACATTTCCTGCAAACTTGTGTGCTTTTGTTGCATTAACGCCTTTGGTTTCATCTTTACAATAAAATCCCAAAAAAATATGTTGAGGCTTGTGGGTATAATATAAAGAAATGTGATAAAATGGAGAACCAGCTATATGATTACCATCGCAGTACTCTTTTTTTCCAATTTTTATTAACTAAAAACTAAAAAGTGCAGGACTAATATTACAATTTCCGGTATCATAAAGTAAAATACCGAAATGCATATATTATTAGAAATGATAGTTGTCATACTTAAAACAACGTTTTTAAGACAGTTGTTGCATCAATATTGCAGAACAACAGATGATACAAAAGAGAATCTGAAGCAGAAAATGAGCATCTCAGATTCATAATCGAACATGTATGCATACTGACTTAAATTAAGTTTAGATACAAATCTGACTTTATTTTTGCAAATGAAGCCTAAGAGCTTCCAGTAGATTTTTTTTTTAATACAGATTGATACATTACCTCATTCCCAGACAGTTTTGTCAGTCTGCTGCCACCTAAAAACAGGTTTAATAATGCGAAAATGTTAAATATGTAAGCATTGCTCAAAACGATCCAAAATTAGAATTCCACCCACACCAATGAAACCAGAGACAAGAAGATCTGAACTCACCCCCAGGTTTGTAGTCTCCCATTGGAGAGAAAGAAGGTCTGTAAAGAAGATTTTGACAGATTAGTTTAGTTTTATTCATGCATAAACTAAATAAAAGGTTAACAAGAGAAATAAAGTGGAAATGAAGGCAATTCCTCCACTTTAAATAGCCTATATTGAAAGTTCTCTTACATAGGTTTGGGTGGTACCAGATCTGGAGGCAAACAGGGATTTGAAGCACGGGTTCGTAGCGCTTTCTGACTGGGAAGACTGGCACGTCTGTCTTCAGCTGTAAAACACACAGGTGAAATATTATTGCTTCTTTATCTCTCCAGTTTGGTTTTTTTCACTGGTTAATATGCAACTCACGGGTCTTCAAGTCGTGAATAGCAGGAAATGATGGTTGCTAAAAGAGAAGATGATGTCACCATTTTTTGAATCAGAATATTGAAGGATTATTCTTTGTTCAGTAGCTATTTTACTTGTGTTACTATTTTATGACAGTGTTAAGTATTCAAACAAGAAAAGCATTGTACACTTACAGTCACAGCTCTTGGTACTGGTGGTTTCATCCTGTAGGTAGAGTTAAAATGATGTTTAGTTTAAGATTTAAGATTAAGGGTTTCTGCACTGTTCCCAGATTCTGTTTCACTTTAAATGTTTCCTCTTTTTTTGAGACTTCCTAAGGATTTCTGTTCTACTTGCACACAACATATGAAGTAACAGACATTTGCCTAGCTGCATTTTCTTTCCTAATACCCCACCAGACACACACAACCACCCCTAAACCTCACTCTAGAAACAGGAGTAAAGAACTTCATAGACTTGAATGGAAAGCATGATTACATGGGCTTTGGAGGAGGAAGCTTTGGTGATGAAATCCCTCTGATTGGGGCAGGAGGGCAGGCTGAAGAACAGGAGAAAAGAAACGGTCATTATCTTTTTACTAACAGGTTTTCTGTTACTAAATGTGAGTAAGAAATATTCTGGGCGCTATAATAAGGTCAAACATTGCTGTGATACCACATACATGCTTCTGGCTCCAAATACACGTCATCACTATCTTCCTGAAAAAAAAAATCATGAACAGTTTCATATTTCTATTTTCTCCTTTTAGTTTTGATTAAATTCATTTTTGTATGCTTTAGTGGTTATTCAGCCCTGCGTGGATGATAATCAGTGTAATGTGGACTATTGCCTATGAAGCAGCAGATGGGGAAAAATTAGAACAGCCACTGAAAGTCCATCTGTTTTCCTAACATTTGTATGCATGAATATTTAATGTCAGTTTAACAATAGATGAAGATTAAAATACTCCAACCAAATGGTTTGAACTGAAAATTGACTCACACTTTATAGGAGGAATAAAGTGAGACAGCCTTAATTAATTCCCTATTGAAATGATTATGTTTATACATTGGTTTATCACATCAAGAGTGCAAATTATAAAGTAAGTTCGCATCTTTTAAAGTGAAAGTGAACAGCATGGTAAGATCTAAACAACTGTCTAGGATACCTCATATGTTTGCATGAGTGACAGGTTTTAAATTATGAGTATAAGCTCACCTCTTCCACATTTGGATCCAGATAAACATCTAAAAGAAAAAAACGTAAAACACTGCCAGTGATAAAGTGGCCATTTTAATTTACATATCTAGTACAAACAGTAAAACTAAGCATGATATTTTAGTTAGTACTTTAAAACATAATCTGAAATATGAGTCTTGCAGGTTTGCCTGGTTACAAAAAAAAACAAAGCTATAAAAGTTTGTACTATATTTCTTTGTGTCTTATACAGCAAGCAAGGGCATGGCACAATCTTGCTTTATTTCTTTTTACTTTAAAATCTGGGCCCATCCAAGATGTGTTATTTAGTAAAAGTCCCTGACAACAGTTTGTTGTCCTATTTGCAATTGAATAAAGCTAAAATCAAAAATATGACTGATAAAAAGGTTAAATAATCTGTTGCTCCTTACATTTTCCATTTTAAGAGGTTTCTTTCTTTTTAAAGAATGTTTATTTAGTTTTCATTCAGTTTTCAAAATTGACTATATCAACAAACACAAAGAACAGATCCAATTCAAGAGGATTTTAATTTTATGTATATTTTAGGTAAGAAAAAATTACACTCTAGTATATTAATGTTTATCTGAAATGGCAAACTTAAATCTTAACAGTTCTTGAACTGTAATCATGGACCACCTAAAATTCCTCCAAGGGCCACAAATGGCCACACTTTGGAGACTTCCACTCTGAAAATAAATCAATGATGTTCTCAATTACTACCAATAAGATGCTCTAGTTTAAAATAAATTTGTAAAAATTGTCACACAACAGAAAAAAAAGATTACAGTCTTTGGCAAAATTAGTAAAAATGTATTTGCTCCCAAAAAAATTCCTGCTTTTTTCCCACTTCTCATCAAATTTAAATGTATCAAATTTTCAAGTACCATTTAAGATCAAAGATAAACTAAGAGGCAATATTTTTCCCCTCATATTAATCTCATTTGTTAAGGCAATAAACTAAGTGATTCTGGTCCAATGTGAAAATTACGACTGCCTGTGCCTCCCCTTGCTGTATCATGACATAACTTACTGCCGAATAAAATCTATGAAGTAACAAAGCTAAAATATCTAAACAGGCAGCCTAACAAATAATTGTTGGGTAAACAATATTATGAACTAATCTAAAAACAACAGGGAACAAAAGACAATACTCCCAAGAGTTGATATCCTATTAAAATGAATCCAAAAATATACTGACACCTCATCCTGCAGGTAAATAGGACCCCAAAACGTACATTTGAATAACTCTACACCTAATCTGCCTTAGTTAAAATATGTATTTATGATTCAACAACAAGAAGGATATTGGACAAAAAATGGGATCTATGAGAAAAATCCAAGGACAAAAATCACTGCTGACCATAAAGAAACAAAAAGAAAAACAAACCTTAAGGATCTGTAAGATGAAAAAATCTCTTAAGGGACGTAAAAAAGGAGGACGTTTTCAAAGATATGTGTTTTACTACATCTGCTGTAAACTCCAAGAGCATGATACTGACTGGTGATTTTAGTTTGGAGGTTTGGGACTTTGGGAATTTGCTCAGTGTTTGCAGCAGGACAGTGATGCAATGATGAACTGCAGGCGTATTAAAGCCGCTCTGCAGGAACAGTGGACTGAGATTTCTCCACAGTGATAGGAAAAAAGTCACTGTCAGATACTACATACTGTTGTTGGCAATATTGGCAATATTTGTTCATATCTAAATCCCCACATTTAGCCTTTCAGTATGCAGCAAATTTGACAAAAACCCATTAAGGAGCAAATACCTATTCACGGCACAATAAATCATTTGGATAAAAACGGGATCCTTGTCTAATTAATGCTTATGAAATGGTTTAGAGATTTAATTAAACTGCAATATTAGATATTTATATATTTTACTCAAATGAAGCAAAACAAGAGGATTTAATATTAATAATTATTCTTGTTAGACAGAAGTACTTAGGCTTTTTTTACAAGAGCAGCTTTTTTTATACCTCATATTTTTATGAAATAAATAAATATTTTTAGGTTTGAGTTCAAAGTTTTCAATGGTAAATATATATGTATTTGTTAAAACAATGGAAGTCTCTTCTATTCTTGCTTATATGGATATTTAAAAATTTTCTGAAGCTCCCAATTTGTAACCTGAGAGGTACTTCAGAAGGGGGTGCTGTCTACTTTGTTTAAGGGCTTCTTGATTGTTCTCCTTTATTTTACCAAAGGAAAATATGTTGCTTAACGGAATATTACACTAAACATGTCAGCTTTGGGTTTATCTGTTCATCTTCTCTAAATACCACTTAAAACACAGACGGGAGGAAACCTTTAACGCTGGTATGAAAGTTCATTAAAATATTCATATAAGGTTTCATTCAATGATTTTGACCTATGACTGTAGTATTATTGTATTATTTCACCTTCCTCGGGTAAAGGAACTGGCGCGGGAGCAGGGCGGGCTGGAGGATCAGGCATCTTTCTCCTTCCAGGCTTCTCATTTCTGTCTATTTCTGGAGCTGAAAAACATGTATTTAACTTTAAGAAAAAAGTTGAGCACTAAATAAAAAACAATGAAAACAACTCACGTTTTCCTGCGCTTTGTGGTATCTGAATAGAAAAGGTGAGAACATTTAAGCACAGCTAAAAGGAATATCTTGGGAAAGGTTCAGAGACAAAAAGACATATTTTCAAGACTGTTTTTACCGAGGATTTGGACGGTCTGGGAGGAGGGGGGACTTCATTGCGAGATGTCCTTTCTGAAAAACAACAACAATATATATATATACTTCAAAGTACTTTAAAGCCATTTCAAGTGGCAGAAAAGTGTGGCAAGTACGGTTCAGGCTGAATCAAACATACATGAACATAATACGTTTTAGTCATACACTATATTGCCAAAAGTATTTGCTCACCCATCCAAATTATTGGAATCAGGTGTTCCAATCACTTCCATGGCCACAGGTGTATAAATTCAAGCACCTAGGCATGCAGACTGTTTTTACAAACATTTGTGAAAGAATGGGTCGCTCTCAGGAGCTCAGTGAATTCCAGCGTGGAACTGTGATAGGATGCCACCTGTGCAACAAATCCAGTCGTGAAATTTCCTCGCTCCTAAATATTCCACAGTCAACTGTCAGCTGTATTATAAGAAAATGGAAGTGTTTGGGAACGACAGCAACTCAGCCACGAAGTGGTAGGCCACGTAAACTGACGGAGCGGGGTCAGCGGATGCTGACGCGCATAGTGCGAAGAGGTCGCCAACTTTCTGCAGAGTCAATCACTACAGACCTCCAAACTTCATGTGGCCTTCAGATTAGCTCAAGAACAGTGCGCAGAGAGCTTCATGGAATGGGTTTCCATGGTCGAGCAGCTGCATCCAAGCCATACATCACCAAGTGCAATGCAAAGCGTCGGATGCGGTGGTGTAAAGCACGCCGCCACTGGACTCTAGAGCAGTGGAGACGCGTTCTCTGGAGTGACGAATCGCGCTTCTCCATCTGGCAATCTGATGGACGGGTCTGGGTTTGGCGGTTGCCAGGAGAACGGTACTTGTCTGACTGCATTGTGCCAAGTGTAAAGTTTGGTGGAGGGGGGATTATGGTGTGGGGTTGTTTTTCAGGAGCTGGGCTTGGCCCCTTAGTTCCAGTGAAAGGAACTCTGAATGCTTCAGCATACCAAGACATTTTGGACAATTCCATGCTCCCAACTTTGTGGGAACAGTTTGGAGCTGGCCCCTTCCTCTTCCAACATGACTGTGCACCAGTGCACAAAGCAAGGTCCATAAAGACATGGATGACAGAGTCTGGTGTGGATGAACTTGACTGGCCTGCACAGAGTCCTGACCTCAACCCGATAGAACACCTTTGGGATGATTTAGAGCGGAGACTGAGAGCCAGGCCTTCTCGTCCAACATCAGTGTGCGACCTCACAAATGCGCTTCTGGAAGAATGGTCAAAAATTCCCATAAACACACTCCTAAACCTTGTGGACAGCCTTCCCAGAAGAGTTGAAGCTGTTCTAGCTGCAAAGGGTGGACCGACGTCATATTGAACCCTATGGATTAGGAACGGGATGTCACTTAAGCTCATATGTGAGTCAAGGCAGGTGAGCAAATACTTTTGGCAATATAGTGTATGTTTGACTGTGTCATTCTAATATAGTGATTTAATCTTAACCACTATAATGACCCCTGACGTCTTTCAGTTTTCAGACATTTCCATATTCATTAGTAACATAATTAAATGGCCAAATGTAATGATGATAATGTTTGCATGAGGATCAGCAGTTCCATTTTGGTCTCATCTCATCAGAACACCATCTTCCACTGGTTCTACTGATTCTTTAGATTTTGGATAAAAGCGTTATTTCTGAAAAACAGAAAATAAATGTTTTTAATATACGAATCTTAAGGCATATTATTATATTCTAAGGTCTTGGCCGCAGAGTACCTCCCACTTTTTTTCTTTCTGTTTTATAAAATATGTTTCAGATATTATTTTGTTTGTGTCATCACCATAAGTCACCTTTAAAATATCTTTATTTTGTATTTGTTTGTTCTTATTTTTTTTAACGTTTTTTTCCCGTTATCTGTAATTATTAGTAGACTCCAATGCTGATTAATGTTAAATATCACCTTTTATTATTTTTTTTCCCTTTATATGTACTCCTTTTATAGACCTAAATATATACATTTACTTTTAGCCTAAATGAAGAAAGTGTGCCTAATTCCATTTAAAATTTGATTTTTGTATTAATAATACTGTTACTTTATTATCTTAGCAGTACTGAAGAAACATATTGTAAGCATATTGATTTAAAACAAATAAAATGACAGAGCACTGCAAAAACAAAAAATCTCAAAATGTATATCACTCATCAAAACATTTTTGCTTGACAACGTTTTTTCTTAACTATTTGGTTAAAAGGAATAAAACCCTGAGCACTACAATAAATATGTTTCTATTAATATTATTGACAAATTAGAAACATCATTATGAAAAGGTTCTTCTCGCTTCTGTTTTCCTTTTCATTGAACTCATTGATATATTTTAGCCTCCCTTTTTCTAACCTCTTCTTCCATCTTTGTTTTTCAATTCTCAGCACTTTCTCTTTCAGCTGTCTGCCACCAGGTATTTGTTCTCTCCACTTACATGGATATTCCCTGTTTCTTCTGCTTTCCTCCTGCTAGCTGCTTGCCCATCCACAAATTCCTAAAATACATAAAGTCAAAGTTGAGAGTAATGACTTGCCTCTGACCCAAGTACACTGAGGTGTTGGACTTGAACTTCGAGCATTTCCAATGATGTAAGCCAAATGAGTGTGACATTATAGTGATGAAAGGCATACCCCATCCCTCCCCAAGGTTGAACAATACGCTGATGAGTAGCTAATCAGTAAAGTAAAGTAACCGGTAGCTGGTTTCGGTTACTGGTTTACTGGTATTCGTATTTTCCCCTTTGTTAGAAGATTATTTTTGTGTTACATTTTAGCTTCCTATGTGTTTAATTAGTAACTTTCTCTTAGTTTCCCTGCTTCTCTTCTGCCTCTGCTGTTCCACATTACCCACTGATTAACTCACCTATATATGATGTCATTCTCCATTCTCCCCTCAGTATTAAGTTTACTGCTATTGATTGCTCTGTGTTGGATCATCCATTACCATCCATTTGTCTGCTTGCTCTTCGGTTGCAGTGGCTTCATGGCCTAATACTCTACCCATGCTTTATGTCCAGTTTCCATTTTGTTTTTCCTGTGAGTTTCTTTTGACATTATCACAAAATCCTCATCATGTTTGTCTCAAATTTCTCTCCTCCCTTTTGTTTGACTGCGAAACAACATGAGACAACAGGGACTGAATACAAATGCAAGCCAAACTTTTCAAATCGTAATGAAAGACATTAAAAGTGTACTTATGTCATTTTTCTTTTAATAAACAGTTATGCACTACTTTGTGTAGGCCAAGGGGGTAAAAACCAATAAGAAGCATTGATATTTACGCTTGTTATGTGAAATCGTGTCAACAAAAGGTTAAGGAGTGTAAGGGAGTGTAAACAATTTTCCATGTTGAGATTTTTACCTAAGTAAATGTTTTCCTGCACTTGTGTCTGTGGGACCTTGACAGGCTGACGCTCACAGGGAGGAACTTCATACATGTCCCCGTCTTCATCATCCTGCTCAGAGACAATCAGTGTCAGAGACTGAAATCTAAACTTTTTAACCTCATTGCTGGCTGGAGTGGAGTAAATCCATGTCATCTTGGCTCGCCAACCTCAAACCCATGGATAATCCAAAAACAAATCATCCTTCTTATAGAGTATTTAATCGTACAAGCTTTGCAGGATGCATGTTTTAAAATAAGAATATTAGCATTTATGCCAAGATGAATCATAGAATATTAGACTTACAAATTCATCTTGTGGCCATTGAAACCCTGCGTTGTTGTCTGAAACAGATAAAGATCCCCAAGCATAAACACAGAAAAATTAAAAATTAAGTCCTGTATTATTTGAATGTATATCTTACCTGTTCTCCTTGGAGGGGCTGGAGGTCCACTGTGTTTCAAAAGAGAGGAAAAAAAGAGACTCAACCTACACATGGTGCAGGAATGCATGATGAATCTAGAAGTGGTATGTCCTTTGTACTTACCGGTTCTTCAGTTTTCCAAGAAAACTCTGAAAACACCAGAGATTAAGTAATTAATTACTATAGAGTAAATGATCAATTTCTCTAAGGTTAAGCCTGGAGAAGTAGTTTACAAAGTTAGTTTTATTCATTTATCTGCTTCATTGACCAGCCTGCTGCTTTTTGAGCATGGTGTGCAATTGTTTATTATGGAACACAAACACATGAATAAGTTGCTTTTTGGTATGACCAGTGTGGTAGAGTATTAACATTCTTTATATATTTCAAAATTAAGTAGTTTTAACAGCTTCCAAGAACAAAAAAATTTAATATATTTTTTGACGCTTAAATGAAATGGAGCTCCACTCATGGCAATCCGTATCATACTTTATCATTGAAGTTTACTATATGGTGTATATTTTAATCATTTAGAATACAGAATTTCAGTCTAAGGATGTGCCACTTTAATATATAAGCCTGTGATCAGCCTCAGTAGACCTAAAAAAAAACTGCTAAGACTGGAAAAACATGTTTTATTTCCATAAAACCCCTACCTGTTCCAGTTCTGTGGACTTCTAGTTTTGTATATAATTGTTGTATTGTATATAATATAATTTTCCATCTTTATCTTGTATCAAGCATTGTTGTTCACCCATGCTCTGTTTTGCAATTGTTCTGTTCATCCCTGTGTTTTTTACAGGTTTAGTTTCACCTTTCATGCTCCCTCTCAGTAGTTAGTTAAGGTGCATCTGAATAGTGCAAATCATTAAGGACATTAAGGTCAAAGCGGAAGTGAGACAGCCTTCAACATGATAAGTGCCATCCGAATAGTGCTGGCAGTGAGGAAGGAGGTAGGAAGAGGAAGCGGGATACTTCCTCTTAATAGTTCATTTAGCATGGAGACCTTTCAGAATTTCTTCTAGCTGCCTGGGACCTAAGTGGTTACCCACAGTCCCTTGCGTGACTAGATGGAAAGGGACAGCCCATTTGTCTTTTATTTGTGTCTACTCTATCCCACACATGCAAATATCCTCACCTTCATACTGTAGTTTTGGGTTTTATAACAGAGAGTTTGAGCCATTCACTACATTTGTGTAACTTTTTTTTTTTAGGTATTTTTTATAAGGCTCAATTTGAGAAACATCATCCATGTGTTTCTCAGTCCTGTAATAACATCCATAAGGCCATAAAGACTGTCCGAAATCAGCACAACAGTGGCTCCTTTCCTACCCATGATAGTGTTTTGATGACCCCACAAAAGATGACGGGACAGGTGGTATAAAATACAATTTCCTCTATTTAGATGGAGGAATTAGACTCACCTAATGTTTGTCCCATATTCACTTTCCTCTGTCTTTATGTTCCCTACTTTAGACTGTTGTTTATCCTGTTTCCCTCAATGAGTCTTAGCAGTTTTTTTTCCCCAGACGATGGTCCCTTCCAGACATATTTCTGCCTCTAGTCCTTTGGGGAAAAAAATCACGCATCATCATCATAGTTTCCATGTTGGCCAGCTGGAATAAAAAAGCTTGACTCTAAATCTTTCTTATAAAGATTATAAACTAGATATTTTCGTTAACCATATAAAAAGACAACTATTTTTTAACCATTCATATTCAACCTAACTACACTTTACCAGATTTACATCCATTAGGATTACTGGAATGAAGACAGAGAGGTAATTTTATATTTTACTTTTTTTTTTTTTTACTTTTTTCAAAATAAGAAGAAAGTTTGGAGTTCTTCCCCAAATCTCTCTCAATACTATTTTTTGGCCCATTTTCTCTTGACAGAACTGGTGGGACTAAAGAAGGCAGCCCTGCTCTCTTAAACTTGTTCAGCAGACAAACTTTTTATAGGACTGAGATAAGAACCCTGCTCGGCATTCGTTGATCCAGGGAAACGTTTTGAAGGTGTATTAGGTGACTGATATTTAGGATCTCTGTTAAAACAGTAATTTTTGCTCAGGGTTAACATTTTTGACAGATATCTATGTTTTAATCCAATAAGATACTGTGTAACTTTCCAGATTGTATCTATATTGTGAAGTTCACCAGTCCTTCCTTTAGTAACGCTCTATTTTATTTCCAACAAATTACTAAGCTTTCTCCAACACTACAGATCTTTTTCCCTGGGTACATTTGCAAACTTTAATCTTGTTTTTGTATATATGTATATATATAAATATATATACATATATATGTGTGTAAAAAAAAAATATATATATATATATATATATATAAAAACTCTTCCTCACCCATTGCGGGTGGCCTTCCCCCCCTTTTTTCCTCCAAGCTTGGGTCCTCTACCAGAGGCCTGGGAGCTTAAGGGTTCTGTGCAGTATCTTTGCTGTTCCTAGAACTGCACTGTTCTGGACCGAGATGTCTGATGTATTTCCCGGGATCTGCTGTAACCACTTTTCATATTTAGGGGGTCACTGCCCGAGTGCCCCAATGACCACGGGTACCACTGCATGGAGTTTGCATATTCTACCTGAGCATGTGTGGGTTCTCTCCAGGTACTCTGGCTTCTTCCCACAGTTCAAAAACATGACTGTTTGGTTAACTGGCTTCTCTAAATTCTCCTTAGATTTTAGTGTGTGCATGAATGGTTGTTTGTCCTGTTTTTCTCTGTGTTGCCCTGTGACGGACTGGTGACCTGTCCAGGGTGTACCCCGCCTCTCGCTTGTAGACAGCTTGACCCATTCTTCTTTTTTTGCTTAACTTTGCAAATAATCAATAACATGAATGTGACATCTTCAGGCATATGGTACATTCATAATTGTCTTCCTAAATCTGATTTTGTCTCAGGTGCTGCCGTAAAATACATATTTTACATATAAATACATATAAAAAGTGGGGCGCTTCTCTTTATCTAAGTTGCTGTTAATGATCAGAAGCTTTAAACAATGACATCATTATTGGCTACCAAAGTGTTAAAAGGGATGGGGACCTCCTTTTAGAAAATATCAGATATTAAAGAGCCCATGCTTTTATAGAAATTTTGAGCACTAGCTTTCCTTCTGTTTACTAATTGCATGTCCTTGTTATATGGTATCTGTCACTTTTAATTAGATTAGCGTGAGAAGCAGATTAACTACACACCTCATGTGAAATAAGGAAGTGGAATATTCTCCCACAGGCGGCCACAGGGGAAGTGATGTGCAGAGTAAATGATTACGGACAAATGGAAAGGTGGAGATGAACAAATGGTTTTCAGCGTGAGTCACAGGTCATTCTCAACATGTCAGAAAACAGTCGCCTTTCTGTCAAATGAGCAGCAGGTGGGCTATTAAAAGAGAACTATATCACCCTTCTGCTATTTAACATCATTTTCCTCATGTTTAAATAGAGTGTCATGGTTTATGTCAGCTGTTTTATTGCAATGGTGCCTCTCTATTATGCAGTGTTTTAAGTATAAAGTATAACAAGTATAGGTGGCTCAAAGAGCACAGTGCTGTAGGAAGAAAATAAAAAAAAATCTAGCTATGAAATAAAATCTGATGCAAACAAGGGTGAGACACATAATTTAAATGATTCACCGTTCACACAATAGAAATAGTGTTTCTGTATTATCACAAGTGTAATACCAGCGGACGTCCTCATTGGCACTCCCTTTTTCAAGCTGTTTTTAATAAAGAACGGGTAGTGCAAGGTTACGTGTGAGTTAAACCCCTTCAAAAATATCCCTTTTACTTTAGTTGACAAACGTGGGCTTTATCACGTGAATTGGTCAAGCTGTGAATAAGACAAATTTGACTTCCTCCTAAACTGTAAAAGAAAATTGAGAAACATAATCTTTTGTGCAATTAAGGTTCAATATTTTTTCCTATCAAACAATATAGTATTTCCACTTTGCAAAAACCACTCCCTTCATGGTTTACTGTACAAGAGGCTGAAAGTCATCGTGAGGAAGCGATATGTTTGGAAAGAAAAAACAAATAAAGACAGCAGTAGTACATGATGAGATGAGAATGTTTGATCTGTTTTAGTGATCATAATTTATCATTTACATCATGTCGAAATCAAATTAAAGATTAAAATCCTGCTATTGAGTTATGAAAAACTGTTTCACAGTGAGGAAATGAGGCTTTTTGTCACACCAAACAGACTGAATCACTCTAAAGTTGCCTGTAACACATTCAAACACATGGGTTCTTACTATCATCACATTATTTCATTGTGTTGCTCCTTAAAAGAAATTCTAACTGACAGCAATTGCACAAAAAGTCAACCGAGGTCTGTGAGAACACCTGCTCACTTCCCTTTTATTCCATCAAGCATTAACGAAGCATTGAAAAAATTAGACCAAAAGAAAAAAGCCTTTACTTTACCATGGTTATGGTGTGGGCTCAGACCTCACAGCTCAAGTCATGAGGAGAGCTCTTTGTTTCAGTCCCTCTGGATGCAAATGGTTTCAAAGATTGAAAGTGTGTGATATAGGCTACTGAGAGCGAGCAGCAGCTCTCTCTGCCTCTATTTGCATTTCCTACCTGTCAGCAGACAGAGAAGCAGAGAGTCTCACCTGCAGTCACATCTCCCTCCCCTAAAATATCTGCAACTGAGCAGAAACACGGCTCCGCGTTTAACCACTCAACCCCCTTGGTCAAAAAGCAAGTGCCTATCTGATGCTGCAGTATTTATGTGTATATAACTGAACCCAGAAGTTGCATTTAGTAGATCATCTACACTATGCTGTGTTTTCAGTTCCTTGTTATCATTATGAGTCTCTTAGCTTCTATTTCAGTTTTTTCCCCCACTAGTTTACATCAAGATATAGGAACAAATTGAGTGCTTGAGACAATAATCCAGTAATAAAGTGGCAAAAGATCCATTTAAAACTGATAATGGAGTCCCTTGCTAAATCCATTCCTTTTGGGTTGGTCCAGGTTTTATGTAACAACTATAAACATCTATCCTTTTAGATATATCCTTCTTAAAGAGGCTGTGAACTGAAATGAAAAGGACACATCATTTTTTAACATACATTTATACATAAAAAGCTGAGAGTTATCTGTATTCAACCCTTTCTAAAACATTACTTACCCCCGTTTCTCTGCCATCGCTCCAGCTGTTCTACATCTGCCGTGTCTCTATCATATTTAGAAGTCTAGACAATGAAATATGTGATTACTCCTTCTGGCAAAAAAGCATAAGCTCAGGAAAATATGGCATATAACACATGAAGATCATATCTAAGTCTTACCCGAGGCTATTGGTTTGGTTTAAATTTGGACTGTGACTGAGGGATTTACGCATTGATCTAAACCAGGCCTGCACAAAGTCGGTCCTCAAGGGCCGCTGTCCGGCAGGTTTTAGATTTCCATTGATAGCTGACTAACAGGCTTTTGCTGAACTGTGTGGTTGGAAAATGTAGATTTCTCTTATTTCATATATATTTAGATTTATGCTATTTACTCACTAAAAATGTCTGGATTCCTGTCTGTGTATGTGTTTTTTTTTTGCATTTGTCTCCCTTCCTCCACCAGGAGGCGCCTGGTTCTGGTCCACCTCCCTACACACCTGCTGTGAGTTACCTCATTAAGGGAGCGCTCTTAGCTGCTGACTGCCACTACCTCGACGCCAGACTGTTTGCCAGTTTTGGGTACTCTAGCCAAGCTGAGTTTTGCTGACTCAAACTGAGTTCTTGTCAACCTGAGTTTTAATCTTGTTTTTTGTCTTTGCCTGTTGGCAGGAAGTCATCCTACAAATTGGATTTTTCAGACCTTCTCTCCCTGGAAGGATCATCTGAGCTTCAAGCTGAGTTGAGGATTTAAACTGGAGGTTTGAATCAACTTTTCCTCAAGAGATCATTTGAGCTTCACTCTGAACAAGGGATTCATCTCTACTACGACCCGTTCAAGTACCGCAGGAAATCTGAGTGGCAGTCAGCTTCTCCATTCACCTACAGACAGCCGCATTCTGGGTAAACCCTGTCCGCCCTCCACCGAATCAGACAAACACTGGAACTACTGCACACAGACTGGAATCAAAGAGTCAACAACTTCTCTGGAAACGTGAGTCAGCAATATTTCTCCTCTTCAATTTCGAGAATCAAATTTCCCACCGAGCCTGAACTAACTGCAGTGTCTTCCCCTCACCTTTCAGTTTCGGTTGAGCAGTGTTCAGAGCAACACTGGATTCTTCACAATCTCCTAAATAAACCTGTTAAACTTTTTCCCTGGTCTCTCTGTTTGGTCTTCTGCATTTGGGTCTGATCTTTAGATAAATCATGACAAAAAAGCTTTTTACTCAGTCTGTATCACCTGCAAGGCCACACAATGCCTGAGTGAGGGGTGTTTGTAGACCGAACACGCTTACAGTACTCCCATGTCAAGTCAGATTTTTCTCAAGCATTATTCATAACATGTTGCTGTTTAACCAAAGTGTCTTTACTTTTTTTTTACTCTGACTACTCAGAACAGGGCTGATTACCATTTACATTATTGTTTTATAAACAAACCGATTTAAACATCTCCACATTGTCACCCACCAAAATTTATTGTAACACTCTGAGAACCTGAAAAATAATTACAATGAGATGGAATATAGATCATGGGTAGGTACTGTGTTTATTAAATAGGTGACAGCAACTAGTTGCATTGGTTTCATTTAGTTATAAGGATAAAGAAGCCTAAGTCAAAATGTAAGGTGCATTTCATATGTTTTTTTTTTTCTATTTTTTTATGTTTCAAAACTTAATTTTTTTACTTGACTTTACAGTTCTTCTGATATTTTCTACTTTGAGTTGGTGTAAAAAATAAGATTCCAGCATTTTTTACTAACATGGCAAACTGTTACAAAGTTTAAGGGGTTGCCATATTTTTGACATCTTGATAGTGGTATGCTTTTCTAAATACATGCTGATTTATCCATTGGCTTTAATAGAGTTGGGTTGGTTTGAAAAATTTCTCAGGAAAAAAATGACAAAGCTCTGAAAAAGGTCAAGTTTAACTGCCAAAAGCAGCCAATCTCCAAGAAAAATAACATTCAGGGAATGTTTAGCTTTTATCATGAGAGGTTTTTTAGCATGTTGCTCTTACAATGTTTATATACGACGATACCGTTTTGCCAGCAAGAGAACCTACTTCTTCGTAAAGGTGAATATAAAAGTACGAAAGTGATTGTATTTTTAGGTACCCTTGGATTATAACGTTAAAATATAGGTCCGTGTTTCCTACTGCTGCTAAACCGGTGTTGTAAAATAGGAAGTTAAAACCAGTCAGAGCCAATAAAGCTATGGTAGGAAAATTAATGCATTAGATTTATTATCTTGGATTCAACATTTTAGAGGAGCTGTCCCTGTAGTGGCCTGAAAAGAAAGAGATCATATTCTGAAATGTAGGATACAATATGTGCAGTTTGTAGCACTGCTGCCTTGAAGCAAGAAGGTTTTGGGTTTGATTCCCTGCCAGGGTCTTTCTCCATGGAGTTTGCATATTCTCCCTGTTCATGTGTGGGTTATCTGTGGGTACTAACAAAAAAAAAACATGACTGTTAGGTTAATTAGCTTCTCTAAATTGTCCTTAGGTGCTAGTGTGTGTGTGCATGATTGTGTGGGAGAAGATGGACGGATACTATCTAGGACAAAGTACCCTGTGATATAATCAATCTTATATTTGCTGCCCTCTGCTGGGCTTCATGAATCATGGGTAGGCAGACAATAGGTCAAATCAGTATCAAACGGATTTTATTCCTAATTTGTCTGCTTCTGTCTCCCAGCAACAAAATCCACAGATTTTTAATTTGCTTTGTCTTTTATTTGAAAATCATCTACTTTTTCCAGCCACAGGCTGGTAGACTTCTCAAAGTTGATATGATCTACTACCTAAAAACATTTGAGACCACCACCAGAGAACTGCCGTTGATAATAAAAAAAAAGTTTGGATTGAGGTCAAGAAGATATGCTTGATCTTATTCACACATTTGGAAGGAGACAAATATTAAATGCATAAAGGACGGCCAACAAAGGACACAGGAATAGGACGGTAAAGGCAATACTGTATTTTAAGGAAATTAATAGTGCTGCTGTCTGAAAGGTTACAAGAAATCTGAAAAATTGAAATGAGGAATGATGAAGAGGTGAATAGAACTGAAAAACTGGCGAACAAAAAAAAAATGAAAATAACAAAATTTAAGTCCCACAGGCAGTCAGGAAATGAAAACAGATGTGAAATAACTTTTAAATGATCCTGAAACTACAATCCGTCCTTAAATAACCTTAACCAGTTAAAAGGCAAAAATCTATGCTGGGGTAAAATGGGAAGCTCGAAAATCAAAAACTATTATATGTTTTCAAAAAAAAAAGCAGGCGAGAAAACTCTCTGTTGACAGCAAATTGAAAAAAGAAAACTTATAACTTAAGGGAAAGCAACAAAAAGATGGTAATTTCTTAATTGGTCCTAAAGTGCCTATTTTCGTTAGGCTTGGTAGCTTTCAAAACCTTGTGCAATCCAACAGCTACCCAACCCATTAAGCATCATACTGCCACCACCATGCTTATCATTACAATTTGAAAGCAACATATTTAATATTCCACATTAACTTCTTAACATGGTGGCCAAACAACTCAATCTTCGTCCCGGCCTGTTCTCAAAACATTGCATTCTGCTTGTCCATGCTGGCTGTTAAAATCTTTAGTCTTATTGTGTCAATTTACTAGCAAGCACTTCTTTCATGTTTGGCACCTTTTCAGTGACACTGTTGTTCCACTATCTTTTAATTCCTAACAGACTTAAGGTTTGACTGTTAAATATATGAATATATTAATCTTAGGGTGTCTGTTTGGCTCAGATGGTTTAAACCCGGCAATATTTGCATGCTTGAACCCAAATACACTCAAACCAGGTAAGCTGACAGTTCATTATTTTCGTCATTAAATCCCTTCATTCACCATGTTGCTTCCTAGAACTCATATGCACCTTGGTCCAGAAAATCAAATATTGACAACAAAAAAAACTCCTTTCAATGAGGTAATTAAACAATAAGAAAAAAACAAAATAGCAAAAATGACAAGAACAATTTAACATAGTAAACAGTATGGAAGGTGCTGGAAAAAGAAGGACAAAAAATTAAAATAATTTCTGTTTCTACCTTTGAAATTGGTAGCTATAAACACACTATACAATAAAACCTGTGAACCCAACTATTGTTTTCTTTAAAAAAAAATCAAAGTGAAGCTCTTTTTTTCTAAGTATTTTTATTGAAACAATCTGTGTTAACAAATGGTTAGAATGACAAGAGCAATAAATTATTAATAGCATATGGTATTCAAATGGTCTCTATAAACACATTCAGGTTTCTTTAAAGGTCCTGTATTATGCAAAATTCACATTATAAACATTTTGTAAGAGTCACATGTTTTCTGAAGCCTGTGTATGAGATTCACATATAAAAAAAAAAATCTTCCCCCTCTCTCATTGACTTTCTCCAACTCTTAGTTAATGCGGGCTGTCTGAAAAAAAATCCCCTTATGATGTCATCAGGGGAAATAAGCGGTAGCAGCCTATCGGCTGACTAAGATTTTTGGTACATGCTTCGTGGAAAAATCTGATAGGAATTTTTCTGCACGAAAGGAAAAACATGCTCTGCGGGCCTCATTATTAATATTTTATTTTTAAATAAAGCATAATATGGGATCTTTAAAACAAACTTAAATATTATTTTTTCATAAAACATTTGAAAACTTTCAACTTAGAGGCTATCACACAACAAAGCAAGTTTAAACAGTTTGGCTTCGCAGTCAGTATGCAATTTTATGATACAAAATATTCACAGGAAACTAATATTCAGAAAATATACATGCAATATACTTGCTGGGATCAACCCCGCAGTCTTATGTTATAAAAAAACCCAGAAAAAGTTCTGCTCAGATGATTGAATTGAGGATCTCCTACTTCATGCCTCCATGAAATTATCTGTACTCAGCTTGGACACAGTGTGGAAAAGTAAGAATCTGTACCAGCAGATTATTCAGTTTGGATTCAGGGCTAGGATCCCTAAAAAAACAGGTAACGTTATCTGCCTGCTAGGATCACCTAATAATATTAACTCGAAATATCATTTTAAGTTATCCTATGAATGCCGTCTTTAAAACAACCCTCTTTAAAATGTAGCTCAGCTATGGAAAAAACTCTAAAGATGTAGTGGGAATAAAAGTGCTTTGGATCAGCCAAAGGCTCATAATTTCTTTCAGCAAAGCTGCAAGAAAGAAAGTAGAAGCACAGATAAACTTCCTTCCTATTGTCCTTGTTAGATTCACTGCCAGTTCTACATGTTTGAGGCAGCAGTGGGTAGAAAATAAACTTTGTTATCAGTAAAGACTGAAATATGTCAGGATTAATAAACAATGTCCCCCCCAATAAAAGGACAAAAAATAAATTTTCTGTCTATATAATCAGTGCGATCATAATAGTGACGACTAGAAACTGAGGATAAAGCAATACACTGAACTCCACAAAACTTCTGCTAGATTTCTGTCCTGCTGACTTCAAACCTCCGTTCTTAAAACAACGAGGTGTTGTGGATTTCTACGTCTATCTTCATGATAAACCTCTTGTCCACTGTGATTATTAGTCATTCAACACTTTTGTTCACAGTTTCTCTGACTTTACACAGGGTTTACTTTAATTATGCCGTTGATCCAGTCGATGTAATGGGAGACGCGTGTGTAGACCCCTGGCTTATCCTTCTGCCCGCACCCATCTCCCCAGCTAATCACGCCCATTAGAGTCATCCTGTCCTTGTTTCGGCACACGAGAGGGCCGCCGGAGTCTCCCTGTGGAGGACATTCAAAAAAACGTTAAATAAAATCCTTAAACCACTTTAATATAATTACATATCTTGAGGTTAGATATAAATTCATTTGTATTTTTGTAGAAAGTAGCAAAACACAGAGAAATAGGCAAATTTTGCCACATATTGTGACCTAGACCTAGAGCTAAAACTAACACATGAAATTGATCATTGCCTAATTCTAATTAATTAAATCCATTTATAACTTTTTAAATAATCATGCTTACTAACAAACCAACAAGGCTCCCTTTTCTTGTGTTTTGTTCTCAGAAGGATTGTAATATAAATCAATATCCATACAGGGGTTAAACTGACATCACACTAAACACATCTTTCCCACTATGAAACATGGTGATGGCAGTGTCATGCTGAGAAGATACATTTCTTTAATAGGGACATAGCAGTGGTCAGGCTTGATGGGAAAATGAGTAGAGTTGAAAACAATACTGGAGGAAAACCTGGCAGAGGCTCATAAAACTAGAGACTTGGTTAAAGGTTTAACCAGAGCTTAATGAAATGGTCTAAATTAAAACCATATCAATGTTTTCTAATTGACTAGTCAAAGTAGAGCCCTAAAAATAATCAATAATTTGTTGAAAGAGTTGAAAATATCCATCCAATCTGACACAGATTCAGAAATTCTTAGTGATGGGCAGAAATTCAGTCTGTAGATGTGCAAAACTGACAGAGATATAGTCATATAAACCTGATAACTGCCCTTACAAATCATTGACCTGAAAGGGGCTAAATTAAACTGTAATGTGATAAACAAAGCAACAGTTCAGGGGGGAGTCTTTTTTTGCATGCCTGTAGAACAGCAAAAGTAATTTTGGTCGTTCTCACCTTGCAGGCATCATCAAGCCCTCTGGTGTCACCTGCACACAGCATATTGGAGGTAACGGTCCGTCCAGACAGCACCTCTGGAACGCAGCGCTCTTTGGGCCAAAGGCGCACATGTCCTCTTTTAACTTGCTCCGAGTATTCATCAGAAACTGTGGAGAAAGTTCAGTTTAAGAAACCTGAAATTATGCAACTCCCTTATATAAATATTTCCCCCAAGGTAGCCATGAAGAAAATACCAGTTAGAGGGAACATCTGCTTACATTCAGAGTTTTTTCCATAGCCTGAGATCTCGCACTCGGTCCAATCGGGCAGCACCAGCCCACTTTCCGGCAGACAAGCTGGATGAACCTCTGGAGAGTCCACAGCGCATATGCCAATGTCCGTCTGAAGCTTTAAAATAGCTGCAAGAGGAAAGTGACCAGAGGAAAGTCAGACTAATGCTTAGGGAAGATGTGGGGTAAAGATTTTACGAGCCTTCACAGCCTTCTTAAGATTTCCATATTATCATCGCTAAGGAAAAACAGCCATTTGTGCTTTAGTTGTTAACTTTACAGTGTGAGGATACTTTAGAGAATTCTGAAATATATCAAACAATAAGTCAAAAAAAATAAGTCAGCATCTACAGTTAAAGTCTACTCACCAATGTCATTGTCAAATGTTTCGTTGTTAAATTTCTCATGGATCCAGTACTTCTCCACCTTAAAAATCTGCTCACTGCTGGAATTCTGCTTCCGGAACGTTCTTCCCAAAACGACTTCCAACTTGTCTGCTTTGTCACTGAAAAAAAAGGAAAAAGATAATTTTCTAACATGATGCATGAAAAAAAATTGGATTTTTACAATTTTTAATTTCCATGTGTGCAAACAGTTCATAGGGAGACCCAAGTTTGTACCTGATTTCGAAGCAGTGTGCGGCAGACAGAACCCAGCAGGAGTCGATAAGGACTCCTCCGCAGCGGTGGAAGTGTTTCCTGAGGCGGGCCTGGTAAACATTGATGAGAGCCTGCCATGGCTGCTCTGTGATGTCGCTATATCTGCCTCCGAACATGCGGAAAGCCCGACGATTTAAGGTGTTATCCAAGCGCTTGCCACACGTCGCTGCAGAAAGTCAGTTTGCAAGGGTTTAAATAAAGACAATGCACTACATGTGCTTAAAAATAGCCTAAAGGCTTAATTCAGACAACTTCTTGGGTTACCTCCATTGTTGTTATTAGTAGTTGGAGCACGTATGCCAGGAGTGGTAATAACGGACGGACGTTTTGCTGTAATTAAACACAAACAGTATTTAGCACTATTGCATTATTGCTGATGTCATATTTACATTCAGCTGCTGGGGTAAAAGATGAAGAAATACTTGCTGAATTTCAGCAGTGTAATAATGCTCGAAATAACTCATGCTTTAATCTTGGTTCAGTTACTCATAATCATTTTCTAAATTCAGAAATGACCATTAGATGTTATCAACAAGCCAATTGGTTGACTGAGAAGAAAAAAATGTCCACCATCACAAAGGCAAACATGTGCGGCTTGTTTAACTTTACTGGAACTTTAACAGCCTGCCTTTATCTAAATAGACTAACTTTGAGCTTTTTTTTTAAAACAATCTCTTTAGATGGGCATGTCCTGAATGAATGAATGAATGAATGAATGAATGAATGAATGAATGAATGAATGAATGAATGAATGAATGAATGAATAAAATCACTTGAAACAACCGTATATTGTAAAACTGTTTCCTATAGCATAATTGCTCGGCCTGTAACTTTCAGATTTAATACATCTTAATTTTGAGTATTCATTGGTTGTCAGTTATAATCATTAAAATCATAAGATGTAAACACTAGAAATATATCAGTCTATGTGTAATGAATGGATATAATATACATTTCACTTTTTGGATTTAATTACTGATAAAAAGAAAACATTTTCATAGTATTCAACTTTAATGATGGGCGCCTATAAAGCTTAAAATTCACTCACAACATTTAGGTATGTCACAATGCTCCCAGGTCAGCAGCATGTTTTTGTAGGTGTGACACCAAGGAGCCTCGTCGCCATCTGGATTCCTGATCAACCAGACTCATAATCAAATCTCTAAACATTACAGAAATGTTTCAGTAAAAAAAATATATATATTTTTTTTTTAAGTTTCCTTTTTACCTGCAGAAATTGTGGTTGCTAAGCCCCAATTCTAAGGCATTGGATCTCCAAGCATTGTTCAGCTTACGTCTGACAACAGGGGAGTCCCACGGTAAACAAGTGGAGCCGCTATTGGTGACAGAAGCTGTGCCTCTGTAATTCTGACCTAATCCCACCGCACACTCTCTGTTGTTATCTGCTCAAACAAACACAAGAAACATGTTATTGGCAAGTTTTTTTTTAAATTAATTTTCCCTTTGTTTTTTTTTTTGTTTTTACCTTGAGGACATTTGGGCAAGGAGCAGTATTCCCATCCTATCTGTGTGCCTTTATATATAAAACACCACGGCAAGCTGTCCTGGTCGGGGTTCCTGAATGCAAACATTTTAAAGGATTAAACAACCAGAAGTAATGGTAAAACATTATTTTTATAATCAATTCTTTGACCAGCAGTTTCTGAGTGCTGAGAATGGTTAGGCTAGTTTGGCCTTCTTTAAATCAAATCAGCATAATACTAGTACACATATATCCACCACAAATAGTGAAATACTTAAAATAAAGAAGTTTAGGTTCCAAAGAATCAGAAAGAAAAGTCTAATAATACCAACAGAAATCCCTCAACATAATATAGGGAAACCTTATGGACGGACCTAAATCCTATTCTATCCTAACTATTTAATACCCTGTGGAATAATCCTGTTAAATAAGAGACTTCAGCTGTTATAGTTATCTCACTACCTCACCTTAACCTACCTGGTACCATTTGAATGTACAAAGCCAAATCCATATGTCTATATGTCACCTTAGATGTACATAGGTAACCTTAAATCTCTTCCCTATTTCTTTTTTTCACACACATATATATATATATATATATATATATATATATATATATATATATATATATATATATATATATATATATATATATATATATATATATATATATATATATATATATATATATGCGTATATGAACGCATTGTATATATCCCTATGCACCTTTTCCTCCTTTTGGCATCTTCTTTTGACTATTGAATTGATGTGACAAGTGAATTTCTCCACTGTGAGAGCAATAAAGCCTATATCTCTTAACTTAAATCCTTATTATTAATAAATCCAGCTAAGCTGAATTTTCCTTTTTAGGCTTTTCAGATGTTGAAAATAGGAACATTAATGTTCAAAACAATATAAAATGTAGAATATTTAGGCATTTGCTCTAAGAAATTACACATTTAAAAAATATTTTAAAATCAAGACATTCATAACTATGACTTTTCTACTTATAGACTCTCCATCTTTTCAAACAGAGTTTCAGTCTTCTAAGAAAGGATCATCGGACATTTTCTCTTCAACTGTCACCAGCTCATTATATATAAGTATCAAACTCTTCTCACCTTCTGGATTTATGACACAAGAGACACTTTGTCAGTTTTTTTGTTTTTTTTTGTTTTACAGCACTAGCGGTTGTTTTTTGGACAGTAGGATGACAGGAAAGAGGGTATGAAAGAGGGTGAGAGACATGCGGCAAAGGACCACCAGTTGGATTCGAACCCGTGTCTGCCGCGTTGAGGACTAAGGCCTCCATACATGGGTCATGTGCGCTATTTCTTGTTGTTTACCTGCAGAAGTTGTGATTCCCGAGCCCAAGGCTCCTGGCGTCTGATTTCCGAGCTGTGAACCTTCTTCCTCTGAGAGTTGTTGAATTCCAGTTGATGCACTCTGCTCCGGTCTGACTGATGCTCCTGGTCCCACGGTAGCCTTTACCCCGCCCCACGATGCATTTTTCATTGGTGTCTGTTGGACAGAGAAACTTAATGTACCCACCAAGATTTATTCAAGAGTTTTCACCCTCGCTGCGTCATATGTATATCTTCTGGAGACACTCTACATACTCAGACTAACTTTAAAACAAATAATAAAAGGATGTTTTTTCTTGCATATCATATAAACATGTGAGACCATTTCTGATAACATTAATATCATACTGCTTTAATCCTCCAATATGGAAAATATTAGTGGATAAACCAGTGACCCCATACACAATACGACCACATTAACTTGGCTGTGCAGCTGGACTGCGGATAATTATCCCAGGGTGGGGTGTTCCTAAAACCGCAAAAACAAAACATTCATGTCCCAGAATGTCTTTCCATGGTTTATAATCCTTCATTTTTTTTTCTATGCAAACCACAGGCCCATGACAGCAGCTGTGGAGTCACATAGCCAGACTGTGACCTTATCAAAAGTCACAAACAAGTCTTAATGAACTTTGCCTTCATAGCCACCCGTTTATACACGTATGAACTTTTTGCAATAGTATTCACACCCCTTGAACTTTCCCAGGTTAAGTCACACTGAAAGGACAAACGGTGTGTTTCATCAGGATCTAACATAATAGAGGAAGTAAAATAATGCAGGTTTTTCAGCCGTTTTACAGAAAAATATCTGGAAAGTATGGCATTTAGCCAAATCTAATATTATATATATATATATATATATATATATATATATATATATATATATATATATATATATATATATATATATATATATATATATATATATATATATATATTCGGGTGTTAAGGGGTAAAAGTTTGATTTACCGAAAGTTTTGGACACTTACGTAATTTCTAAAAATAAACATATGCATCACAGTATTGAGCATATTTGTGTTCATAATGGAGTTTATTACAAAAATCAAGGAATCTAACAGCTTTACAAGTTTTTCTGTTAACCTAAATTTAATATATTTGTGATTTTGTCATAGTTGTTTGGTCACTTTTTTACATCTGATGAGTAAAGATGCGGGTTCCCAGTTCTGACCCAGATTACAGTGTCACGTGAGTACTCACTAATCTCACACTGAGTTCCACTGAAGCCAGGGGGACACTGACAAATGTAGTCCGATGAGTAGACGGCCTCCTTACAGGTTCCCCCGTTGTAGCACTGGGACACGTAGCAGTCTGGAAAACAGAGACGGAGCCATTTAGTCAGACCCACGTCATCCAATTTTTTTTTTTAGAACAGCAACAGCTTAAAACAATCATAATCTGAGTGATTTGTCATGCCTGTGCAAAAAGAAGTAAAACAATGGGTTTAAGCAGTGTGGGTTTGATCTGGCTCCCTTCCTACTAGAGGCAGCTATCACTACATTTTGGGGTTCAATCTAAAATAGGATGCCAAGATTTTTTTCTTATCTAAACCAGTTTTTAATCGTAATCCAATCCTGTTTTCCTTTTGATATTTTTCGAGCTTGGTTGAAGGCCGCATAAGAGATGGGAAATGTGGTTGCAATTTGTCAGAGGGAGGGTTAATCATGCTTCGCAGAATCTCTCAATGGGGTTGAAAGTACGCACAACGTCTGGTCTGGCTGGAGTCTCTTCAAATAATCTCAGACTAAACTGGAACGCACTGAAACGCAGCGGCTCTTCATGTGGATTCACTGAAATAACAGGGAAGTGAAAACGTGAGCGAGTCAGCCCAACAAAAAATAATCAGCTGAGGTTATAACAGCAAGTTAGAGGTAAAGGCAGAGCTATAATGGAGGCAGATGGCTTGGTGACGGCTGGAAGGCAGACAGACACAAAAACCATCCAACACGTCATTAGGCTGCTCAACAGAAAGACGGGAGGGAAGAGGAGTCAGTTAAATGGTTCTACTGGTGTTTGTGTTCAATTTGACTCACTGATGACAGGCACAACATGACAACGCTCTCTTCCTCCTAATGGGCAGTGGCAATACTCCACACGCTGTCCTTTCCAGCGGAGCCAAGAGTCACCAAAACTATGCACTGCTGATGTTTCACTATCCACACACAGTACTATAGAAACACACACATATAAAAAACATTGAGAGACATGCAAATCAAACAGGGCGACGCACATAGTTAACACTCCACTGATTCTAATCATGGACAAACAAAACTAAAAGGAAGAGGACTGATAGCGGAGGATTAAAAGACAATGACGATGATGAAGACAATGATTATGGTGATGTAGGAGAAACAGAAACATGGTGAGGCTCACAGGATGTTTCATAGGAAGGTGAAGGCTTCTTGAGCTGAACTATCAACAGCGTCCGTCTAGCTGGCTGCCTGGCAGGCTCACCTCTGTAAAAACGGGTCCCTCGCTTGGTGCGAAGTACCTCCACCTGCAGACATAAAGAACATGTTAAACGCAGAGCAGCAGTGGGGAGGATGGTCGACCATTTACTGGAAATGCAATCAAAGATGGTTTTGGCAGTTAAGGAAATAAATAGTTCATTATTAAAATATATATATATATATATATATATATATATATATATATATATATATATATATATATATATGTATGTATGTTAAACTATCTCTCCTAAAGAGAATTCTAAATTAAAAAGTCCTTCCTTCAACAGTTAAAAAAAGAATGTGGATGTGTGTGGATGGTTATCTGCTCTCTGTAAGTTGCATGGACACCCATGAACTCTAGCACCCCCCTTGAGTCCAGGCAAGGATTAATGCGTATAGAATGGAACGCAGAAATGCACCTCAAAAATATTTAGACACAAGTAATAAAATATTGTAAAGTTAACTAAATGTATTAATAATTAGGAGGTGACATCCATCATGGATAACACCTTTCACTCTCTGCACTAGACTGTAGAGGAGTTGAGCAGCTCTTTTTGTGAAGGACTTTTACACCCTGTATGTAAAAAGGAGCGCTACCGCAGGTCATTTATCCCTGCTGCCATCAGACTTTACAATGCGGAACTATAACTGCAATATTGAAATAACTTGTGCAATAACTAATGTGCAATCACTATTAAATACCCTGTGAAATAACCTATTGTATTTAATACCCTGTGAAATAGCTATATATTTAAGTACCTATTTATATAAATACATATTTAATACCCTGTCTAATAACCTGTGCAGTAATCATGTTAAATGACAGACTTCAGCTGTTTATGTGTGGACACACTGCATGCACTGTATATTCCACATGCACCTTTTCCTCCTTTTGGCACCTTCTTTCGACTATTGAGCCTTGCTGAAGAGTTCAGGTGCTGGACTGGTGCCAGTAGTCCAAACCTCTTACCAAGTAACAATATTTAGCAAATTGTGAAACAAAGACAAAAACACCACACTGAAAAATTCCTCTCCTATAAAAACTGAACTCCTCTGTTTGGGAATTTTGTTAAACTAAAAGCAGACAGTAATGATCTTTGGGTGTTAGGGTTTGGTTTTCACTTCTGTTTACTTTCTCCTAATCTCCATGGTGTTTATTTCGTGCTTAGTTTCTTCCTGTGTGCTATTTCCTTTTATATCCTTGTTTATTTCCTAGATGAAGTGGTTTGTTGCATCTTAGTTCAGCTCCTCTGTGTTGAATAGTTCATTTCCTGCTTACCTTTTGCTTCAGCTGCTCCATATTATTTCCTGATTAACACACCAACATTCTACAGGTGCTGGTCATAAAATTAGAATATCATGAAAAAGTAGATTGATTTCAGTAATTCCATTTAAAAAGAGAAACTTGTATATTATATTCATACATTACATACAAACTCATATATTTCAGATGTTTATTTTGTTTAATTTTGATGATTACAAATGACAACAAATGAAAATCTCAAATTCATCATATCAGAAAATTAGAATATTGTGAAAAGGTTCAAAATTGATGGCCCCTGGTGCCACACTCTAATCAGCTAATTAACTCAAACCACCTGCAAAAGCCTTTAAATGGTCTTTCAGTCTAGTTCTATAGGCTACACAATCATGGGGAAGACTGCTGACTTGACAGTTGTCCAAAAGACGACCATCGACACCTTGCACAAGGAGGGCAAGACACAAAAGGTCATCGCTAAAGAAGCTGGCTGTTCACAGAGCTCAGTGTCCAAGCACATTAATAGAGAGGCGAAGGGAAGGAAAAGATGTGGTCGAAAAAAGTGTACAAGCAAGAGAGATAACCGCACCCTGGAGAGGATTGTGAAACAAAACCCATTCAAAAATGTGGGGGAGATTCACAAAGAGTGGACTGCAGCTGGAGTGAGTGCTTCAAGAACCACCACACACAGACGTATGAAAGACATGGGTTTCTGCTGTCGCATTCCTTGTGTCAAGCCACTCTTGAACCACAGACAGCGTCAGAAGCGTCTTGCCTGGGCTAAAGAGAAACAGGACTGGACTGCTGGTGAGTGGTCCAAAGTCATGTTCTCTGATGAAAGTAAATTTTGCATTTCCTTTGGAAATCAAGGTCCCAGAGTCTGGAGGAAAAGAAGAGAGGCACTTCATCCACGTTGCTTGAAGTCCAGTGTAAAGTTTCCACAGTCAGTGATGGTTTGGGGTGCCATGTCATCTGGTGGTGTTGGTCCATTGTGTTTTCTGAGGTCCAGGGTCAACGCAGCCACATACCAGGAAGTTTTAGAGCACTTCATGCTTCCTGCAGCTGACCAACTTTTTGGAGATGCAGATTTCATTTTCCAACAGGACTTGGCACCTGCACACATTGCCAAAGCTACCAGTACCTGGTTGAAGGACCATGGTATCCCTGTTCTTAATTGGCCAGCAAACTCTCCTGACCTTAACCCCATAGAAAATCTATGGGGTATTGTGAAGAAGAAAATGCAATACACCAGACCCAACAATTCAGAAGAGCTAAAAGCCACTATTAGAGCAACCTGGGCTATCATAACACCTGAGCAGTGCCACAGACTGATCGACTCCATGCCACGCCGCATTGCTGCAGTAATACAGGCCAAAGGAGGCCCAACTAAATACTGAGTGCTGTACATGCTCATACTTTTCATGTTCATAATTTTCAGTTGGCCAACATTTCTATAAATCCTTTGTTTTTATTGGTCTTCAGTAATATTCTAATTTTCTGATATGATGAATTTGAGATTTTCATTTGTTGTCATTTGTAATCATCAAAATTAAACAAAATAAACATCTGAAATATATGAGTTTGTATGTAATGTATGAATATAATATACAAGTTTCACTTTTTAAATGGAATTACTGAAATCAATCTACTTTTTCATTATATTCTAATTTTATGACCAGCACCTGTATGTCATTCTCCACACCTCCCCCAGCATACAAGCTCTCTGTGTAAATGGGTAAGTGACTAAACGTTTCATTCCTTCTGTCACTCCTGTTGTTTTCTCTCTTTTTTTTTTAACGTGCTTCAAGTTTGTATCCTTTTTAAATTGATTAAAATCGTTTAAATCATCATGATAGAAAAAAAGATCCCATCTACACTTAGGTCCAGCCCCAGGGAACTGACTATGACAGACAACTTAATACCAACATGTCCCAGCTATCTGACAATGGTGGCTGCCATACATTTTGAAAATATTTTTTTTTTAAATGGTTCAGGTGTTTGTTACAAATTCAATTGTTAGAAATTTTAAGAATAAAGGTTGAATGTTTACTGAACATATTTAAATCACATGAATAAAACAAGCATTTCCAAAATATTTGATAAAATATGTTTATCGTGATGAGCCAGACTATAATATTCATTATTTAGAAATTCTGTTGTATGTATTTTTTTATTTTTTTTGGTATCCTCTAATACTTACGTTGTCCGCTAGGGAGCAGCAGAGAGCAGAAAGGATGAAGATTCCTTGCATGAAACTCCTCATGGCTGTTTCTGGTTGTGTGCTAGTAAGATAGTCTTCTGCAAGAAGAAGATCAAATAATAAGACCTTAAAGAACAGTTTTCAAATCAAACATTATTTATCAACTCAAACCATTTTTCCAATAAATTTGAGCATGGACAACTTTAAAAATTCTAACACAACATGCTGCTCTTAACTGCTATAGGCATGTGAAACATAATGCGTTGTTTCCTTTAAATAATTATGAAATAACACATGTGCCTATCTTGAAGCATTCTTTAACATTTTTAAATCTGCAACAAGAAGAAATTCCTGTTATAGATCTGCATAGTTTTTATTGTCATTGGGTTGACTATCCTCTGCAAGCATTGTTGCATGTCTGTATATATTTTTCTCACCGACATGTCATCCGCTTTGGCAATGACAGGAAATCACAATATTGGTCACCTTCTCCCAGCTGAACTGTCTCTACATTCAGCTTCCTTCCTTAGTCAAACTGTATATTCTATGAGGCGGATGCCACTGGAGAGGAAGGGCTGGGAACACTGGAGTCCTGGAGGGATTCTGAAGGCCACTTCCAGTTTTATTCAGCTTAGGAGGAAACTTGAAGGGTCTGTGCATGTCTGCATTATTTCAGGTTTTTATTCCACCTGGAGTTCATTTCCTTCATTTGTTTACATTCCTCTTATGAGGACCCCTCCTTTGGTTTAATTACATCAGATAGAAACATCTACCAATTTTCTTTTCCAGAGAGAATAAACAGGAAACGAGTCATTAAGGATGAGTTAAAAAAACGCACCCCATCAGACAATATGTGGAAAATTCTGAAGCTATAAAAAGCTGCACATTAAGTTTGAACCTTTAGGCTTTAACAGAGATTAAACTTTTTCCACAAACTTTGATTATCCCACACAGATTGCACTGGACGCCAAAAGGTGAACAAACGCAAAAGATTATGTAAAGACATTCTTTATACAGTCTGATTGAGCCTAAGGTAGTGTGCAAAAGAAGAATAGAAAAAATTTTGTCTGTGCAAGGCTGATCGATTATGCACTACTTTCTGATCTTTGGAGTAAAATGTACATTAAAAGCATTACGGTTAAGAGACAAGTTTTGGACTTCAGAATGGTTCCTTTTGTTCTAAAAGACTTTTATAATCAAGAAACGGGAAGAAAAACCGAGTCTGCTGTTCCTCAATCCAGTGTGAGTAAACATGAGTCACAACAGTGGAGAAGATTAAAGGAGGAAGATCTAAAAAAGGAATTGAGAAAGCTCTGCAATATATAAACTAAGACATAAAACGGATAAAGAACTTCAAACTTGTTTTAAAAATAGGTAAAGGGAACTTCTTTCATACAGACGGTGCATTAAGGTCGACAGTAATGGCTATCTGAAGATATACCAGGGAGGGAGAGGTTCTCCTTCACATTGCCTGGTACAATCTGCAGTGAGTCATTCTGTGGTGCCTGAGCTCATTAAATATATGTGTTGTAAAATGTATGTGATGCGAAACAGCTATGTTGGCAACCGCTCACAAAAATGAACAAAGTGGTCTGGAATGTGGAGATAATCTCCCCAATTACTGCTCTATAAACTCAATGTTCAGTAAAGCAAACTCATCCTGTATGGAATACAACTTATGGAACACAAGCTCACGAAAAACTGCACAGCCCCTGGTAGAAACCATATGTCCCGTGTCAAATAAAAACTCCACTGTTCAATGCTTGCTCCCCCACACTGCAAAAACAATCCAGAAATAAGTAAAAAATGGCTTAAATTAAGTATATTTAGCCTTAATTTGAGCAGGTAAATAAGATGATTTGCCAATGGAATGAGTATTTTCATTCTTAAAATAAGATAGTTAGATAATATTTACTTGAAATAAGACGATAAAATATTTTTTTCTTATTTTAAAAGGAAATTGTCTTGTTCCATTGGCAAAGTGTCTTACTTATCTCCTCAAATCAAGGAAAAACACACTTATTTTAAGAAAAAATAACTTATTGAGATTTATATTTTTTGCAGTGCACTATCCCCCCAATACAAGAGCCTCACTGGTGGAGTGACAACAAACCAGCTTTTTTTTTTTTTTTTCCTTGTGCATGTGTCCTGCTCCATTCAGTGCGGCCCTCTCTAAAGCCATGTCAGCTGAAAGCATGTGTTTCCTGCTAAAACACAGCTGGCATCAGGCATCTGACTTGGTGTGGTGGGGGGTTGTATATCGGACCATGCACGCACAAAAACACTCATCAGCATGCAGCATATCAGACATGAACATGTGTTTCCCACCCTTTTAGAAGTGCAGAGGCCCATTTAGGGTGTCATGAACACAAGAGTATGCAAACAATAGAGTATGCCCTATTTAAAGGACAAAAATAACGTAATTATAATTACCTTTTTTTTTTCTGGGAATTACATGGTTTTATGGGAATTCAGAAAATAAGAGCCTTTGGAGGGGAAGTGTTAGCCTAGTGATTATAGCAGTGCGGATCTGCTCTGAGAAGGTTGCAAGTACCCGGTTTGATACCCACAGTCTGGACTCTGGGTCCCTGAGCAAGACCCTTAACCCCAAACTGTTCCTTGGGCGCTGCACAATGGCAGACCACTGCTCCCAAAGAGGATGGGTTATATGCAGAGGTAAATTTCTCCAGTGTGAGATCAATAACGTTCAATTATTAAATATTATTTAGCATTGGACTGGAGAAAATACAATCACTGATTAACACCATCTTAACTTTTCCTAACTTTTTGGGTGGTCACAACAGCATTCATTGCATTATAGTGGGATTTAGTGTGCATAATCGTGAAAAGTAGTAAAGAGGAAGTCTTTTTATTTTAAACAAACATCTTTCACATATACAAATCCAGCTCAAAGACACTCTAATTGGATAAAGATTGCTTATGAAATAGGTTTCAAGTCTTGCAACAGATTTGCAGATGGATTTAGGATCAGACTTTGACTAGGCCTTTCCAACAAATGGGTATGCTTTGATTTTAAGCTCTTCATTGTTCCGTTTATCACTTATTTAGGATCACAGGATAATATCCTGTTTTAAGGTGAACCTATAATCCAATCTAAAGTCATTTGCAGCTTTTAACAGGTTCCTGTGCAGAATTATCTTGTTTTTTGGACTTATCTTTTAATTATCTCCCATTTGCTCTATGGTATTTTCTAAATCAAACTACCGTATCTCCACAGCATGATGCTGCAACCATCATGCATCAATGTTTTGTTTTCTTTGCAGCATCAATTCCATAATTTCCCAAAATGGAAAAAAAAATCTAAGCTTTGAGAATTTAGAAGTGACCTAAACATTTATATTTAAATAATTCATAAAAAATAAGTAATATCAGAAACACCTTCAACCAATTTCTCCTCCACCTGGAGAGAGAATGTGATCCCCCTTCTTAGTAGGTCAAATAAGAATAGACATGAAAATGTCTTTAGAGAAGTAGATACCAGACTGTGACTCATAATGGCAGGTTTAAGATGGAGCATTTAAGCACTACAAACAAATCCAACAGACACTGGTGATAGGTAGGCACAAACATGCCTGCACTCTGCAGTTATGTCCAAAACTGGAAGTACACGCCACCAGGTGCGTGACATTGCTGTGTATTTATGGAACTGGCGTTTAGTGCTGACTGCAGTCTTAGCGAGTAGTATTAAGAGCATTAGAATGGATGGGTAATAATGATGTTGTGCTGAGCTTTTAAAACGTACCATGTGAGGGGGTGCCATGTTCGTGCAAAACGCCAACATAATAAACTGTGAATGGATAATTGATGAGGAACAAAAAAATCCACAAGGCTGCAAAAAATGAAATGTAAGCAGTCTGGTTTGAATTGTTTTTTTTTTCATGGATCCTCTTTGTCTTCTTCTCATTGTTGCTTAATGATGATTTGGTTTTACAAATCCTTTGATGAAATGAGCAATGTTTTTTTCTGATGTCATAACTAGTCCATTTTACCTTCTGTCTCTTTAATGTGTCCTATATAACATATTCTCTCCTAAAACGGTTTAGTTTTGGATAATTAAAAAAAACGATTTAAATTCATACAGTGGCATTTCCATTTCCAAACCCAAAGCCTAATATTACTGTTTACTGTACACATCAACTAGTCCATTTATTTGCACATTGGTTCACATTTACTCCGCCATTTATGATTTTTTTTTTTCACATGTCATGCATTCACACCAAAAACACATTTTGCTTTAATAGTGTCCTCGATGACCACACTTGATGTGTATTTATAGAGGCAGAGATGGTAAAGCTAACATAGAATAATGGGCTTATTGTGATCGACCCATTACTCTGTTAGCTTCTATTTTTGTTTCTAAACAAAAGTGTTTAGAAAAATGTGGGTCAAAAAAAAAGCTGTTAAGATCAATTTATTTCTTGAATTTTGAATCTTACAAAACATTTAATTACATTTAATGTGAGATGTGCAGCTCTATTGCAAACTAATGGAAATAAATACAAATAATGGTAAATGGTGTTTTGTACTTGCACCTAGGGGAGGAACTTGTATAAAAAAAAAAAAACAAGATTCATGATCCAGTCTTTTAGGAACTGAAGATTAGTAAAAAATAGTTCATTTCCTGAGTTTCATGTCTTTTTAATAATGTTTGTTTACAATAAAAAAAAATACATAATCACACCTGAAGTAGATTTTATGAACTTTCAAACTATTATATGAGGTCATATTAATGATAAACTGTTTAAACCTACAGTGTAATTTTGTAACAATCAGCCATTATCTATTCATGCTTTGCCTGAGGGTTTTTTTTGGTCAAGCTTCAACAAAGCAGCTGTGATCTGATTTCAAGTCCCACAGAACAGAAAGTTGCTTTGTTACCCTCCAGACTCCCTTTTTGTGCAACAGCACTGGGAACTCCTTATCAGCCAGAAACATGATGAACTAAAAAGTCTGCAGAGGCAGAAAGGTGATGAAATTAAGAAATGAGAGTAAACGGTGAGGCATCAGCCAGTTTCAGGGGGAAAAATATGAAAGGATGGAGAGTTTAGAAAGAAAAGAGGGAGGAATAAGGGAGGAGGAAGCAGAAGATATTAAATTCAACCGGTCAGCAGAGAGTGAGTAGCTGTGAGTCATCCCGATTCCCAGGGCTGCAGACACATTGAGGCATTTATGGCTTGTATAGACAGTGGAGTGTGCAGATAACAATTTTAAAGGTTGAAAGGTCTGTGTGTTTAATCTTCATTGTCTGACGGTGTGACTCCCAAACATCTGGGTGAGATGCCCACCTCTGGATCAAGCTTTTAAACCTCCCAGCATCTGTTTCAAGAAGAATCCCTGCAGTGCAGATACATAGATCCTTCTGACACACTCGCTGCTTTTTGCAGTAAATAATGCTTTATCTAGATCAACAGCTAAAAAAAAAAAAAAGCTGCACAGGGAGGTAAAGGTCATCAGATCAGGGGCGGAGCCAGGTGGGGGGCCAGGATGGGGCCATGGCCCCCCTTAGCCAATCATTGGCCACCCATACCATTTTTTCCCCCTTCTAATACAGATGTTGGCAGCAGTAATACTCTTAAGTGGAATATTAAAATTTTTCATACATAAACAATTACTTGACAACAAAATCACTGTTAATTATGCACATCAATGTACTAATATTAAAGATAAGTACATAATTTGTGCTCTTTTCAGAACTAGATTTTGTGTTATATGGGGTAAAGAGAAAATTATGTCTCTGCAAGTCATCTAAGAGTCTTCAGTAAAATCATAGATAAATAACTATTTTAGTAAAAATGTATCAAATAATCAATTTATGTAGATATCAGTACTTGTAAATATCAAATTTATGCATAATGATTATTGATAAAAGTAGGTAAGTAATGACAAAGGAAAATATGTTCGCCCAAGATATTGTTTCCACTATACCTTTAATCTAGAAAGCACGGGTGTTGAAATATATGCGCCTATTTGTTAGGAAGGACTGCAGAAATGTATAGTTAGTCTTTATTTAGAAAATATACTGTAGATGTTTTGCTCGTTAATTTTCCTGTTGGAACAGTGTAGATTAAGGTTCTGGTGCCTATCTGCTTTGGACCACCCCTCAGTGTACATGGGTTATTGCCTGGCCACCCTGAAAAAAATTTCTGGCTACACCTCTGCACCAGATATAGCAGAGGATCAGATACAAGAGGAACATAAGAATCTGAAATTCACCCAGATTATTTTCTTTACTAAATCAATGGGAAAATACACAAATTCAATACCAGTAAAACTCTAACATTAAACGCAGAGTTTTAGCAGGAATAAACCTCATCATGTTATAACTGCTGACCTTAGATAAATTCTTCCTTATGAACATCTATCTGATGAAATTTTTTTTTTATTATTAGGATGAAAAGCATCAAACTAAATGAGACGGTAATAATTCTTTATAAAGAAGCACATCATGGTGAAAATCGTGCAAAGAGAAGCATTAGTGAACGCTGCCTGTCAAAGCCCCTATGGTTGGATACCGGTGGTGAAAACACTGAGCAGCTGAAGACCGAACGCATCGAGACACTGAATAAATAAAACAAACTTACCGGCTGATTAAGTCTTCTTGGAAACGGTCTGAGCAACACTGATGTCCGCAGGGTTCTACCGCTTCCACGGCACCGTCCCAACTTTTTATGTCCGGTCCCACCGGCTGCTGATAGGCGGGCTGATGTGACCTAAGCAGGGGACGGCTTACCCATGATGATGGTGCTGGATGTGGAGGCGGAGGATTGTTTACATCATTTCTCAATTGTTGCACTTCTATGCATCACAAGTAATAGTTGATGGTAAAGTAGAGCAGTTTTTCTACCAACAGCTAAAAAAAAACTAATAATGACCATTATTATCACTATTACATTACTAAATATAATTGTATTTATTTTGTAAATATTATCACTGACCCAGATATTTCACAAAATTAAAAATTATGCTACAAAAAGAAATTTCGTTTAGAACTGCTCTTTGGACAATTTCTTTTTCTTTTTTTTAAGTGCAGCCTTGAAAAATAATAGAGCACTAAAAATTTATAATTTAGATAATTTAAATAATAATTTAGAGCAGTTCTTGTTTAATATATTTTTGGAAAATATGACTAAATTAGAAATTGAAATCATACCAAAGAGTATCTTGTCAGTATTATGTAAAGGTGAGGGCATTAGGAAGCATTTTGCTGGAGTCTTATGTCTGCCTGGTTTGCCATTAAAAAACAGGTTTTTGGGTTTTGGATTATTGTCTGGTTCAAACACTTATTTAGGTTCCTGTTTAGCCATCCATCCATCTTGCTCAAATATTCCCACTGTGGTCAAAGAAAGAGGGGGTTCCAGAACCATCCAAAAACCATCAAGGCAGGTTTGCCGTTTTAACTCTGACCCATTTGTCAACAGTGGTGGTAGTATCATGCTGGACGATATAATAAAGAAGGAATTGAAAGAAAAGAACACTTGGATTTTCCGACAGGGAAAAACTCATCAGGGAGGGTTTGGGAATAGATAAAGAGGAAAAGTTACGTTTCTGGACAGTTTTTTTTTTTTTTTTTTTATCTGTGTGTATATACTGTATGTGGACCTTGCATAGGGCCATCCAAAAAAAGTATCTGAATTAGATTAAATGTTACAGTTTCAGACAAGTGGACAAACATCCAGCCAAAAGTATGCTTGTGGCTTTTTAATGGCTACAACATGCTGTGTGACACAGACCCTTTGTGGATTGGAGGAAATATAATTATCTCTTGCTTTTAAAACTCATTAAAAAATTTTTATGTATAATCAGTGATGGGACTAACGGCGTTGAAAGTAACGGCGTTACTAACGCCGTTACCTTGTTTTAGTAACGAGTAATCTAACTAATTACTTTGACTGTAACTATAACGCAGTTACCATTGCAGGCACCCCGTTACTGCGCGTTACTCAGGTCGCACAATGAACCTTTTTTCATGATAGGACTCGTGCGCAGCTGCGTGAAGCTGACACCCCACCCACGTCAAAAAACTCTGCAAATAGACTGAATGGTTAGTGCAACGTTAGTGCAGATTTGTGCAGAAAAAAATATTGTTTGTGCTACTTTTGTTTAAGAGATATTAAAGATTTATTTTAGGTCATCCAGAGGTGCGCGCCTTGTCCTGAGAGGGGAGGATGAGAATGGCTGATGAATAGTGAGATTCCGTCTGTCAGTTGAATAGGTGGGTGTTTCTGCTGGCGGGTGTTAACGTACAGCACACACAGAGAGATGGAGAGTGAGGATGACTCCAGCAGCAAAACAGCGTTTTCCACATGGAAATACCAGTGTTACGTAGAGCTGCGTTTCCCCATCACATAACGGTTTCCTCTGCATCTCCACACAGCGCAGGCGGCAAGAGTCACCGCGCAAGCGACAGGAAACGCGCATGCTCGCTAAATGCGCGCAACAGTCGCCCTGTGCTCGCGCCACAGGAGAACTATGGAGAGCGTGAACGATCAAATGAACCTGACAACAGCCAGAAATGATAGCCTATATGGAGAAAGGGAGAAATCTGGATGGATGGTTGGATGGATGGATGGATGGATGGATGGATGGATGGATGGATGGATGGATGGATGGATGGATGGATGGATGGATGGATGGATGGATGGATGGATGGATGGATGGATGGATGGATGGATACTCTGCCTTCTCAACTTACTGTTTTTTTTATTTTAAACAATATTTGATGGCCTTTGTGGCAGGGATGGAGATCCATATTTTATGTCACACACAGAGTATACATCTAGATAGATAGATAGATAGATAGATAGATAGATAGATAGATAGATAGATAGATAGATAGATAGATAGATAGATAGATAGATAGATAGATAGATAGATAGATAGATAGATAGATAGATAGATAGATAGATAGATAGATAGATAGATAGATAGATAGATAGATAGATAGATAGATAGATAGATAGATGTTGCAGTATCTATAAAAACCCAAACACACAGGATTTCAGAATTAGACATCCCCAGTTATTAATTTCATATACTCACCGGATCTGAATGTCCTGTTATAAAACTTCACATGGCGTTCCCCCCTGATGTCATTTACGTTGAGTTGCAATAAATGCTAAACTCTCTGCAGGTTCTTGTCTTTGTCGTCCGCTCTATTCAGCTGGCTTTGGAAACACACGGCGAGAAGGTGGGGGCTGGGTGGTGAGGTTTACGGGGGCGAGAAACTCAAAAGTAACGCAATAGTTACTTTTACTAGTAACTAGTTACTTTTATTGTGGAGTAACTCAGTTAGTAACTCAGTTACTTTTTGGGAGAAGTAACTAGTAACTATAACTAATTACTTTTTCAAAGTAACGTGCCCAACACTGGATATAAACATAAAATATGTAGATTTTATACGTCTTTGTTCTCTGATATGTCGACTTTAAAAGTGAACGTGTTGGTTGTTAGGGAAAACTGATCATGTCTCTGATATTTCTAAAAAAATTACAATTATGGAAACATTCTAGGGCAAATAATTATTTTATGTGACTTATTTTTGCTCTGGTGGAATGTATATATTTTATTCTGGTCCTTATTGTAGATTTGGATTAAGTGATTATACACAGTGTTGGGCACGTTACTTTGAAAAAGTAATTAGTTATAGTTACTAGTTACTTCTCCCAAAAAGTAACTGAGTTACTAACTGAGTTACTCCACAATAAAAGTAACTAGTTACTAGTAAAAGTAACTATTGCGTTACTTTTGAGTTTCTCGCCCCCGTAAACCTCACCACCCAGCCCCCACCTTCTCGCCGTGTGTTTCCAAAGCCAGCTGAATAGAGCGGACGACAAAGACAAGAACCTGCAGAGAGTTTAGCATTTATTGCAACTCAACGTAAATGACATCAGGGGGGAACGCCATGTGAAGTTTTATAACAGGACATTCAGATCCGGTGAGTATATGAAATTAATAACTGGGGATGTCTAATTCTGAAATCCTGTGTGTTTGGGTTTTTATAGATACTGCAACATCTATCTATCTATCTATCTATCTATCTATCTATCTATCTATCTATCTATCTATCTATCTATCTATCTATCTATCTATCTATCTATCTATCTATCTATCTATCTATCTATCTATCTATCTATCTATCTATCTATCTATCTATCTATCTATCTATCTATCTATCTAGATGTATACTCTGTGTGTGACATAAAATATGGATCTCCATCCCTGCCACAAAGGCCATCAAATATTGTTTAAAATAAAAAAAACAGTAAGTTGAGAAGGCAGAGTATCCATCCATCCATCCATCCATCCATCCATCCATCCATCCATCCATCCATCCATCCATCCATCCATCCATCCATCCATCCATCCATCCATCCAACCATCCATCCAGATTTCTCCCTTTCTCCATATAGGCTATCATTTCTGGCTGTTGTCAGGTTCATTTGATCGTTCACGCTCTCCATAGTTCTCCTGTGGCGCGAGCACAGGGCGACTGTTGCGCGCATTTAGCGAGCATGCGCGTTTCCTGTCGCTTGCGCGGTGACTCTTGCCGCCTGCGCTGTGTGGAGATGCAGAGGAAACCGTTATGTGATGGGGAAACGCAGCTCTACGTAACACTGGTATTTCCATGTGGAAAACGCTGTTTTGCTGCTGGAGTCATCCTCACTCTCCATCTCTCTGTGTGTGCTGTACGTTAACACCCGCCAGCAGAAACACCCACCTATTCAACTGACAGACGGAATCTCACTATTCATCAGCCATTCTCATCCTCCCCTCTCAGGACAAGGCGCGCACCTCTGGATGACCTAAAATAAATCTTTAATATCTCTTAAACAAAAGTAGCACAAACAATATTTTTTTCTGCACAAATCTGCACTAACGTTGCACTAACCATTCAGTCTATTTGCAGAGTTTTTTGACGTGGGTGGGGTGTCAGCTTCACGCAGCTGCGCACGAGTCCTATCATGAAAAAAGGTTCATTGTGCGACCTGAGTAACGCGCAGTAACGGGGTGCCTGCAATGGTAACTGCGTTATAGTTACAGTCAAAGTAATTAGTTAGATTACTCGTTACTAAAACAAGGTAACGGCGTTAGTAACGCCGTTACTTTCAACGCCGTTAGTCCCATCACTGCATATGAGTTGAGACACAGCCTTCAGAATGGACAAATGAATATAATCAGAGTTGGACGCAACATTTTAAAGATGTTTTGTTTTTGATGTTTCATTTCCCATCACATGTCTTACTGTTGCGCTCAGGAGAGTAGGATCCAGTATTCGAGGCTGACAGATTTCTCATAATTTTTATTAGGAGACGGAACTGTAGTGAACAGCTACGGCGTCTAAGGGAGGAACCTTTGCAGGAGGAGGCAACTGGATGGTGATCACGCCTATCTGACGGAGGATGACAATGAGTGTGCGAGTCACTAACGTGGTATTAAAGTTCAGTCCGTGCCCAGAGGATGAGGTTGGTTTTGTTGGTCGGCTGCCTACATGACGCGCCGGACACCTCCCAGAGAGTCCAAGACTTTGAAGTACCGAAGGTTGGAGAACAGGCAGGAGATCAGAGCCGAGTAGAAGAAGGAAGGCAGGATAATCCAGAGGGTGAAGCCAAAGCCGATGTTGAGGACATGCTCAGGTGAGAGAGCTAGGAGATCAGAGATCCAAAGAGAAGGGTGTCAGGAATCAGTTTCAGGTTTGGTACACAGGCAAGACTC